ATGCACCTTCACCGAGTTGTCCGGCGTGGACGCCGCGCGGCGCTGTCGTCCGGCTCAAGGTGCATCCGGCGGTAACTCGCGCGCCGTGCGGCGAATTCGCCGCGCGGCGCGCGCCGGACATAGTGTGAAAGGACTCATATACTCCCATAGCCCTACGCCGGACCCGGCGGGCGCCGCACGGCGCGCGCCGCGTCGTGTGAAAGAGGCGTTAGGCGTTTTTTGAAAATATTCAAAAAAGGCAACCTAAAGTTAACTATAAATTGAAATTTTAAAATATTAACTATAAAAAAACAGTTTTTAATGTATTTTTGCTTTTTATTCTTTATTCACCACAAATATTTAATAAAATCAAACTTTCATAATTATTTGCAAATCCACACAAATTAGGCTTTCCAACGATACATTAGTTAACAAAATCGGTTCAGTAGAAGTCTAGATTTAGTTGTACAAAGTTTAACAAAAATATCCCTAATTCAGTATTTTTAACAACTAAAAATTTGGAGGTCACTTATCTAATTTGACAATAACTTTTAAATGGTGAGTAAATCGTATAAAATGCACGTGATATTCTGAAAGAAGATAAAATTTCCTACAAATAACTTCTGAGTATTTCTTGAAATTATTTAATAAAGGCAGCCAAAAGCTGACTACAAATATAAACTTGAAAATAAAAACCTGAAAAAACAGTTTTTAAAGTATTTTTGTTATTTTTATTTTTCCTCCACAAACATTAAATAAAATCAGACTTTCATAATTATTTGCAAATCTACATGAGTAAGGCTTTCCATTGACTCATTAATTAACAAAATCGGTCCGGTAGAAGTCTAGATTTAGTTGTACAAAGTTTAAAAAAAATATCCCAAACTCAATATTTTCTCATTATTATAAATTCGGAGGTTGCTTAGCTTTTTTGCAAATAACTTTTAAATGGTGAGGAAATCGACCAAAGTGGAAGGTGATATTCTGAAAGAGAATAAAATTTCCTACAAATTGATACCATACACTTCTCGGAAACACTAAAAAAAGCAGCTAAAAGTCGCACCCAAATAAAAAGTGTGAAAAACACCGTTTTCAATGTATTTCTTATGGAAAACATGTTTTTTTGAAATTTTTCTCCATAAATCATAATAAAAACAAACTTTCATAATTATTTGCAAATCTACACGACATAAGCTTTCCATCGACCCATTAATTAATAAAATCGGTCCAGTAGAACTCTAGATTTAGTTGTACAAAGATTTTTAAAACTGAATTATATATAGAATAGATAACTGGTGAAATACACCTTAAATTTGTAAAGTTCTTTATTAGTCTCTGTGTGTTGGTAAATAAATAAATGTCCAGGGTTTACAATAGTGAACACATATAAACCTTTTATTTATCAAATTGTACAAATATGGTTAAAAATTTAGATGACATTCTTATCTCAGGGTTCTAGGAGTATCGTGCCGGCTCAAAGTAGGCTTATGTGATTTTGGATAGGCATAAGCCTAATGTTCATCAAAAGTTACAATTCAATTAGGTATACACTTTTGAAAAGATGAAAGTTCAAATATTGAATTTATTAAAATGATAATTTAGGTTAAAGTTCAAAACGGCAGAAGTCAATAGAAAATTTGCAATATGAGTATTTTAGCAAAGTAGTCCTAAGTCAAGTTCAGTTTGGTGAGATAGATCTTGACAGTAGCGTAGCCAGGATTACGTTAAGGGGGAGGGGGGGGGGTTATTCAACGTGACCATGCCGGGAACATTTTTGAAAAATAATAGCTGTCAACTAGCGTTTTTATGCAATCTAGACATATTAATTTTTAAAACATAAATTGATTTTTAATTGAGTTTTTATTATAGGTATTTAACCTATTTGATTAAGGTGTTTAAACATGAATTTAAATTTGTTACCGTTTTACAGAAGAATATTAGAAATGTAACTAAAATAGTTTTGCCTGCTTTTCATTTTGCTAACTTTGGCCTAACTTCAGTTTCTTTTTAGGCCGCTTACAATTATCATCACTCATTCTTCAGCGGAGCACATGAAAAGAGCCCGAAATTTTAATCCCCAAAAAGGTTCACTAATCTTAAGCATGGAAAGAGCCCGGGTCTCCACAGGTACCTGAGGAAGAGGACGCTGACTCGTGTTCTGAAATAGTGTTGTTTGGTTGGGTTAGGTGGGTTAGGTTAGGTTAGGTAAAGAGACTATTTCTTTTAGTAATGTTTATCTTTTAATAATCTATATTTTAACAATGTATCTTTTAATATTGTAAATAAATTCATGTATTTCAACTGTATTATTGGTTCTTCCTCCTTTGAATACCCGTTGTGAAAGTCCTAGGAAGAGTCTGGGCTCTTTTCGCACCGTCCTGGGAGGGACCTTGGAGGTCCGGGCGCTTTTCAAGCGTCTGCCTGAGTTTTTGGGCTCTTTTCATGTGCGCCCTTCTTCAGGACTATCTTAGTTAATTCAACTTCAGATATGTAAATGTAATTAATCACAAGGATAATGATGAGATAACGTAATATTTCTGAAATATTACGTTATCTCATCATTATCCTTGTGATTAATTACATTTACATATCTGAAGTTGAATTAACTAAGATAGTCCTGAAGAAAATAGTGCTGAATTTCAGCACCCAATAATCGATACGTAATTTATCTAAAAGTTCACAACCTCAAATCACGGTCAATTGTTTTACAACGCACGCAGTAAGGGCATTAGTGATCTGTGTAGTGTCTATGTGACTACTGATAGTTACACTCACTAACCAACCAGACTACTCCCCCGCGCAAAATGACGGCTAGCGAATCCACAGTGGGAACGGGGAGCGAGTAGAACTGGTGGAAGTGGAACCACTATTATAGTACTGTTCCAGCTCTGACTACATGGCTACATGTGATAGAATCAATGCCCGCCAATAGTCAATCAATAGTCGTAGTGTACGCCTTTAGCTGTGACATGAAAAATGTTGTAAAACACTTAATATATTTCTAAGACTAGGTAAATTGTTTGGCACTTTCTTTATTTACTGGTTAGCATAAAAGTATACTACGAAAACATGTTTACTTCAACAGTAAAATATATATATAGGGACACCCAAGGGGGGGGGTTGTAACCCCCAAAACCCCCCCCCTTGGCTACGCCACTGGATCTTGAGGTTTAAATACTGGTTAAATCACCAATTAAAATTTTCAAATCAAATTCCTTCCTTGCTTCTTCATCACTTACTATGCAATTGAAAATCTTGATGTTAAATTTCATACATCTGTTGCAACAATTGGTTATCACTGGTTTCTTGATGTCACTCACTATTCACTGTTACTTATGATTGGTTGGTATTATATCAAGAGTATTTTAATTATATTTTTGGAAGTGAAAGAGAAGAATAATTTTGTAAAATAATTCAAACTGTATAAATAACTTCCAGTAATTACAAATTTCAGTTTATTAAATAATAAAAGATAGTGTTTGATGAGAATGTGAAATATGGAAATTTACAATAGGTGAAACCTTTTGCCCTTTTACTGTATGTAAACATGTGATAATTTAGAGGTATTAATTTAGCTAATAGTAGGGTCTGACTTAGGGGAGGTACAAATGAGGCATTTAGTTCAAAATTCCTCCGTGAACAGCGCTGTAGTAAAAAGCACTTTGGCAATGAAGGTTTACTAATCGCAAAAATAGTTCTGTTCATAAAATAAAATTATAAATGCCTAAAATTCAATTTTATTAATTTTTAATTATAAAATTAAACTATCATAACCTAACCGAACTAACCAAACTTGCTGATAAAGAAATAATATAACAAAAGTTTATAGTAATCGGAAAAATAATTCTGTTTATAAAATAAAACTAGAAATTGCTCAATTAAAATTTTATAATGACTTAATAATAAAATTAAACTGTAATAACCAAACCAAACCAACCAAACTTGCTGAAAATAAATAAATCTTGGACAAAAAGTTAATGCCACCGGCGGGATTCGAACCCGGGACCTACAGTATATCAGCCCGGCACGCTAACCATTAGACCACCGAAGCCGATGGCTATCGATCGTTTTGTTACGGTAATGGCGTTCCCTCAGCTAATAAGAAGCCCTCAGCTGTCATCGTAGCCTCTTCTATACCTCCCCTGAGTAAATACCCTAATAGTAGGCCTAGGTGTTTGGATACATAACACATGGTTTATAAACAACTTATATATAAATTCAAAAGTAATCAATGAGGATAATTTTGGAACATCTCAAATTTAAGTAGAAGTAAGAATAAAAAAAAATCTAATTTATGTTTATGCTGGAGTAATACAGGAGATACAAATATGCCAAAGCTTGATGTGAAATCTGTGCGTGCAAATCTTCAATTTCAAAACCTCAATCATAAAAGTCGGCCGGGTAGAAGAGCCAAACGAACTCGGAAAAGAAAACCCAAATTTAACTCCTATAAGAAATACATGGGGAGAAAATTTTGTTTACGTATAAGCCAAGTGGGACTGTAGATAAATATATGGTGATGCTTGATGTGAAATCTGTGCGTGCACACCCCAGGAAATCTTATATCAACATAAGTAAAAATCATTAGGTAACATTCTTTAAACAATTTTGGCTGTGTTTTCTGTAGGCCTATGTACTCCCCCTTCCTCCAAAATATGTTTAGTATGCCCATGAGTAAGCCTAGACCTAAATGTATTGGAGGATCCGACTACATATATAGGCTACCTACATTATTTACTCTCAACAGGAAGCCTTTGTAATTTTCCTGTTTTTTTATCATGGAGCTATCATTAAGCCGCGTTTACTTGAGGCCAGTAGAGTAGGCAGGTTATAGGGCAGTTAACTTGCCTATAGCATATTTTAAATAACCTGAGGCAGATAACCTGCCTGGCAATTGGCTTCGTGTAAACGTGGCTTTAAATTGGATTCTATTTATAAGTGTATGTATAAATGGCTAAGTGTTGGAACATTGTGTAAATTGAGTAAAGTGAGTTGTAAGTTGAGAAGTTGAGTTTTTTCAGATTACACTATGGCAAAAGAAGAACCTTCAGTTTATTTTGCAAAGTGCAAACTACTCAAGGCAACAGAAATATATCTGCAATATATCAATGGAGAAACAAAGGAAAATTTAGAGAAGATATTGTGGGAGCAAATATACAGTGGGTAAGCTGATTTTTTGTAGATATTTCTCTATTTGTTGTAATTACACCAACCAAAACCTTATCCTACTTTTTTTATTTTTACAATTCACTAAAACAGTAAATACAAGTTGAGTGTTGTAGTTTTATTAACTTGATTTATTGTACTAAAATTAGGCCTACATCGAAATAATAATTAGGCCTAACCCAGGTAACAAAAAAAGCTTGAGAAAGGTTTGTCACAAACTTGTTCTGTCAAACCTTTAAGCTTGCTACAAGTGTATAACGGCAAGCTCTAACACTTGTGGCAAGCTTGTAGCAAACCTCCTAGTTCCCTCTAGACAGGCTTGCCACAAGCCTTTTGATTAAACTTGTCACAGGCCTTCTGTACAAGCTTGTCAAAGGCCTTCTGGTTAAACTAGCCACAAGCCTTCTGTTTAAACTTGACACAAGCCTTTTGTTTAAACTTGACACAAGCCTTTTGTTTAAACTTGACACAAGCCTTCTCTTTAAACTTGTCACAGGCCTTATGGTTAAACTCATCACAGACCTTTTATTCAAACTTGTAAAAGGCCTTCTCTTTAAACTTATCACAGACCTTTTATTTGAACTTAGAAACTGGAACAGATTTTGTCCCATAAAACAAATTAATAAATCATCAAAAATATAGCTCAGATCAAAATGAAGCACATTATGTTTATGTTTCATAGTAATGTATGTAAAAAAATTAAATGTTGTTTAACCAACAAAACTTTTTACTTTGCCAAATAGAGAATGATAGGTTTTTAAAAATAGACTTCGGACTGTAAGATAATTAGAGATATATGTGTTGGATCCTGTTTGAAAATAAAAGTAACTAATTACTAACTAAAACCCAAAATAAAGCTCTAAGCAATAAATAAATATACAAAAAGTACAAAATTTAAAAATAATCTAAAAATGTACTTTTTAACTAAACCTCTGTACTCAAAGAATGAACATTTCCTTCTACATAATATATTAGAATAAGACCATTTTGAATAGTGATTATATCTTGTACTTTTTTAGGATTGAGCATTATGATTTTGATCTAATGTAATGACGCCATTCATGCACATGTTTGCAAATTATGAATAAAGTTGATTTCATTTCATTTAAAGTATACCTAACTAAACCGAATTTAACATTATATAGGTGGAGTCCCTCATCCTGGATATCAGTAAAACTTCTTAGGAATGTCCTGCAGCACGAATTTGATTACAGTGATAAAGTGTTTTACCTAAATGAAAACTTGACATCTTCTCGGAAAGAAATCTTTTTTACTTCTGTTTTGGAGAGTTTGAATCTTCCTCATGAAGCTTTAAAGGTAAGTTAATAGGTCTAATGCATTTTTATATTCAATAGCAGTTATATCTTACAATTATATTGATTCCTATTCCTACCATAAACTTATCCAGAAATAAGGTTGTCTCTTAAGTTCTTTGTAAAAAAATATGACTTTTCTACTAACAATTTTTATATCTCTTTTCTCCCAATATTTTGCACTGACAAATTATGCATGTTAAAGCAAACAAAAGAAAAATCCAAGTGTATTATGTGCAATGATCCAAATATATTCCAGAAATTGATCCAATTTAAAATGGAATAATAGCTCAATAGTGTAGAAGCTATCGCAGGGTTTTCACTCAACTGTGAAAACCTTAAAAACATTAATGAGCCACAAGTTTTATGAACCAAGATGAAACTTTGATTGAGCCAAGTTCTGTGGTTCAACCTCAGGGCGCAGCTACAAATTTTTCTAGAGGGGGCAAGTCCCAAATTTGCCGCCCTTTCACCATACAACTATGGATTTTTTCTAATTGCGAATGACATTTTACAGTCAGTCTTAACACAAAGTGTTGCCACCAGCCATGAAAATCTTGAAAAGCTTGAATTATGCATGAATTCTTGTGACCATGGAAAAAGGCATGGATTATGCATTAGGGTGGGTTGAAAAAATCAATAATTTTTTTCCGAGTTGTAATACCTCGGAAAAGTTGCTAAATTGTAATACCAAAGCAGGGTTAACATATTGGTTGTTTTCTTCCGGTCGTGCATGTGCTCTAATGTTTGAAAAAAATGAAAATCTCATATTTAATCAGAATTTTTTACAATTTTTAAATTTTTGATTTCTAATATGTATAATAGTTTAACATGCCATCTACTAGACACTAAGAAATTGATATTTAAATAATTGTATTGTATGTTAATATCTTCCGGTCGCGCATTGGCTGCAAATATTGCCAAAAATCAAGAAAAACATTATTTTGTATTAGTTTTATTTAAAACTAGCTGTGTGCCTGTTCTACGCACGGGGATCTTTTAGTAGTCAGTTGGAAACCTTCTTATATAAATAACAGCATTTGGTTTGCATATTTTCAGATATGCTGGCCAAACTATAATATACAAACAAATACCGTACAGTATCTGACAGTTTCAAGTAAAAAAATGCTTTATAGATCTATGAGGCATAGCCCTAAAGTAGGCCTATAATTGAAAGCTACTTTCCAGAATGGTTAAAAGTAGTTAAAATACTACCTCAACCTAACCATTAAACATTCCGGTTGAAATTTTCACTATCAAAGGTGCTCTTGTAGGCTACTGTCTGTATGGAACACTGAGAAATATGCGCTAACAACAGACATACACAAAAAAATACAGAATTTTATTAGGGAGTTTGCTACAGTTTAACCAAAGCAAAGTACATATACTTTAGTGTCGCCAAACTTTATCATACGTACTTAATTACTCTTACTCCCATGGCCATTTGTACCCCAAGTGGTACTTGACCTCACCAACACACTGCCTCTACGTCGCCCTGTCTCTTGCGGTATCTTCATTAACTTCCATCCTGGTCATATTATCTTTCTTTACTTCATCCGTCCAGCGTTTTAGCCTCTGCAATTATATCTGGCTTCTTGAACAGGTCTCTTAGTTCCTGATCATGTTTAATTCTCCACACATCTCCCTCTTTAGTAGGGCCAAAGATTTTGCGCAGGACTTTATTTTCAAAAGTAATAAGTTTTTTCTCCGTGTTTTTATCCATAATCCAGGTTTCAGCTCCATAAAGAAGGACAGGTCTTATGATTTATCATTGTTTTTAATATTACTAGTGAACCTGTGCGGCTCAATGCCCCGCAAAATAATATAGGAATTTAGAAAACAAATTCATCGTGTTATATATTGACTCGACGTCGAAAATTAAATACAGTACCTAATAATAAAGCCTTAGAAGGGAAGCAGTCCAGCCATTTTCTGGCAGTATGTGTATTATAGGCCTATTTAGTAAATTAATAATTGTTTAAGTTCAAGTATGTTATAGGCAGCGAGCAAGGTTAGAGGGTAAACTTAGTTATTTTTTAAAGATTTTTAAAAGACATTAACAAAACATTTTATTATATCCAACCAATAGGCCTATGTAGCATATTTTGAGGGTCATAAAAAATGCTGCTTGAAGAAAACACGCTTTTAAAAATTAACACTAAAAACAATATTTTTATCACAAAAGCACTTCCATGAATACTACGATTTTAGTCTTAAAGTTACCTTCAGGAAGATTACCCTGGTCAGTGTTACTGTAACGAATATGCGTATCCTATTAAAAGATGTAGCCTTACTTAAAACAACATATAAGTAGATATGGTTGCTCATCACTGAAATTGGTCTGGGTAGAACAATGCTGCTCTTTAATTAAAGTGCTTGTGCTGCAAATGCCAAAGATAACAGAAATTAGCATCTTTCCATTTTAAAAGGTAAGTTTGTTTCAGACGGGCACATTTTTATCTTCGAAATCAAAATATGTCCCCACTCACTTGTTCCAGTTAAGACTTTACATTCTATTAAGTTGTTAACCGTTCTGATCACATGAAGCCTTGTGCCATTTATGAGGCCCCCTTTTGATGTATTAATATTCCTCATCAATAAAACCACTGCCCCCTTTTATTATTCTAATCTGGGTCTTGGCAATCCACTGACCTGTATATTAAAAAAAAACTCAGTTGGATTTTCTAGAGGGGTGTCTCCGCCTTCGTCTGCTTTCGTGACCCACTCTTCTTCCCCTTGGCATACTGACAATTAATTACCTAACTTGTCAAGTTCATGTAGTAATTCATTAATACTGTTGGTTTATAAAGAAAATTATATAAAAGTTACTTGGCTTGGTGCTTTCATAACTGCAAACTCAAAGTACACCCATAAGTAAAAAAGAATCAAGTTATTGGTAAAAAAAAAAACTATTTTTGTGTAATATCATTATTCATATGAAGTAGATGATTTGTTTGATTTGTTGATCAGCTGTTTAGTTTCAAATGAATTAATAATGTCAAAGATTTGTGATTTTTAATACATAAATTATTATAGTAAAGTTTTCTAAATCATGGTATCTCAACTAAATTTTACTATTCCCAGCATTAAAATAAAGTAGTAAGATCCATTATGGGTAAAATTTAAGGTACACAATCCTTGATTGAAATGTAGTATTCATTAAGAGTCATAATACACAGCAATTATTATGTAGTTTTTTTTTTTTTTTTTTTTTTTTTTTGGGAGGAGGTAAAAATGCATTTACGCACAATGAAGTGCTCAATGGCCACTCAGTAGTGCCGGACTCCCGCGGGCTCATTGTCCCCGGACTACCGGCTAAAAATCTCCCTCGTCTCCTAGGACACTAGCCTGGAACTGTTTCGCACATTACTTCGGGCTAGGCCTTTTATACTACGCCTCTAGGGCTTTCCTTCTGGTTTCCTCAGAAAACTAAGGCCGATCGAGGTCGACCTTCTTATCCCGAAGTATGGCTTCGATGAACTGCTTTACACAGTTCCAGTTTCCTTCCCCCTGTATCATAGCTCCAACGATGTTGTCGGGAGTAATGTCGACGCCGATCTCGGAGATCAAGGAGGCTCGGCGGACATGCCACCTGTCGCAGAAAAAGAAGGTATGCTCAGCCGTGTCTGCAATGCCTGGACAGTATATACAGTCCGAGCTGGCAGCCTTCCCCATTCTGTGCAAAAAGGCCCGAAAGTACCCGTGACCCGAAAGAAATTGAGTCAAGTAGTACCCAACCTCACCATGCTCCCGTTCCACCCATGATCGGATGCTAGGAATGAGCCTGGCGGTCCAACGTCCCCGAGACTCGGCTTCCCATTCACGCTGCCAGCGGTCGAAACTGCGGTTGCGTTCTTCTCTGGCAGCAGTCTCTCTATCTACTTCAGGTCTCCTGCGGTAGATCGCCTGTCGCTCCCTCGCGAGATGAAAGACGGGGATGACACTGGCAATCACCATGACTGCAGGCTCGGAAACCGTGCGGTAAGCGGAAGCAACTCGCAAGGCACCTCGACGCTGAACACGGGAGAGCCTGTCACGGAAGACACGCCTCTCCAGCACGTGGGCCCAGATTTCAGCGCCTTACAAGAGTACTGATTGGACGGCAGACATCAGTAGGCGGCGTTTGCAGGAGCGGGGGCCGCCGACGTTTGGCATAAGCCTACTAAGGGCAACAACTCCCTTAGCGGCTTTGTCAACAGTTCGCTTTATCTGCTCGCCGAAAGACATTTTGCTGTCACATAACACCAAGGTATTTGGCATACGGCTTGGTCTCCAATTGGGCATGGCCTACTTGCAAAGGAAGGACGGTGGGAATTCTTTTCTTGGTTAGGATCACGATCTCTGTTTTTTCAACCGCCAACGATAAGCCGTGGTCCCGCATCCACTCGTTGACACGGAGCATCACTATACCAAGTTTAAGCTCTGCTTCTTCAACGGTTCTGCCTGCAACCAGAGCAGCGACGTCGTCGGCGTAGCCAACGAGGCGGGTCTCGTCTGGCATTTCGAGTCTAAGCAGACTGTCGTAAGACACGTTCCAGAGATCAGGTCCAAGGATCGATCCCTGTGCAGCCCCAGAAGTGACAGAGATCCGACGCTGACCTTCGCTGGTGTCAAAGAGCAGGACGCGGTCTGAAAGGTAGGACTCAATCATTCGCAATATGTAAGGAAGGACGCGGAATGTGTGCTCGAGCGCCTGTAGCATGTCACTCCACCTGGTGGAGTTGAACGCATTCTTCACGTCAAGAGTGACGAGGAGAACTAAGCGGCGCGACCAATGACTGTGGTTCTTGTAACGTTTTGTTTTATCTTACTTTATTTTACTTTAATTTGACTGACTCTACTTTACTTGCTTTGACTGTAAGGTCTATGCCTTTTAGTAAAAAATAAAAATAAAGTACTCTTATTAAATGATCACATGTAAGTTAATTGGGCTTGGGCTCTTTAATATCTCAGGGTCGTTTTATGGGTGCGTGGTGGAGCTACATATCAATAAAAAGGCAAATT